TACATCAAGAATATTCTAAAGATGTCGTGGTATCTTTAGCCTGTTCCTATGATACATTTTGAACATTTCTATTGTGGGTAGAGACTGCCTTATAATTTAATTCTTTTATATTCTATTTACAATAGTCTACATGGTTTAAAAGTCTAAATTGTCTACGCAACAAAAAGACCATGTAAATATCACGTAGATTTCACGTAAATAATCCGTGTAGACGTAATCTTGAAATCTACGGCACAACCCTGGTAGAAAGTCTATAATTGCTTATGTAAATCGCGATGAAAATTTCGGAGAGAATGACGAAGTTACCTCTGATAAAACTTCGTTTGCCATAGCGTGTTGTTGTGATCTATCACGTTGAGAAATCGTCTGCATGTCAAACCGAAATTTCTGAGGTCCTTGATGCCGACGGTTTCATGTTGCAGAATGATGTAGATAATCTCGTTGGACAGAATCGTTATTGTGGTCATAATGACAAGTTCAACATGTAGAAAACCGTAATCCACTGAATCTATATCAAATGCGATGGATGTATTTCTTCTTCTCTTTAAATCCCAGCTAAATTTCCGACTTGTTAGAAAGCGTCACGATATCATGCAAACAAGTTGAACGATTCTGTAGGATCGTGATCGCGATACAACGCGAGCTATTGTTTTCGTTGTCAATCAGTCAATGACAGCATGAAGTAACTTCATGAATGACAGCCATCGATGTTGTATGGATCCTGCTTTGAGTATGGGCCGGTATTCATAGTCTGTTCTTATTTCAAGACCATCTTAAGTAATATCTTAAGATGCTAATACGGTTCTGTGATTGGCTTATGACATCTTAAGACTATACTTAAGACGGTCTTAAGGTCTGTCTACAATGAGAGTAGTAAGTCGTAAGCTGTAAGAAATTGACCAATCACATTCAAATATGAGAAGAATAATCAACTGTGATTGGTCAATTTCTTACGGCTTTCGACTTACTACTCTCATTGTAGACGGACCTTTAAGGTCCATCTACAATGAGAGTAGTAAATCGTAAGCCGTAAGAAATTGACCAATCACATTCGAATATGAGAAGAATAATCGACTGTGATTGGTCAATTTCTTACGGCTTACGACTTACTACTCTTATTGTAGACGGACCTTTAGGATCCTCTCTGCTTACGACTTACTACTCTCATTGTAGACGGACCTTAAAAATATAGTATTGCATATTATGTCCAAAATTTGAATAAACATTGATTAATATTAAATAACATAATATTACAATATTATAAAAATTAATAAATATATATCGGCAATGGACAAATGGTAATGGACAAATTAAGAATGTGCCAATGAAACAACACGTGACACGTTCATAGCCAATGGGATGAAGCCGATCGAGGCGCGATTCTCGATTCTACGCTCTCGCAAGTTTATGGCTCAACCGGGCCAATTTCGCGCGGTATGTATCTCCCGTCTGTGTCTTTTCTGGACTTGACCTTCTTGTCAGATCGTAGTGGCTAGTACTATCAATGGTGCTCCGGTGTTAATTCAATTTTGAGCGTTGCCTCCTCAGCGGAAAGGATAAACCAAAAGATGGCTGTGGCTGTCAGGTCGTTTTCAAAATTCGCTGGTGGGTCCTACGCAGCGTATCCCGTACGTCCCGTAATATCCTCGCGTTGACACCGATCTTCTCGACGTTCTCCCTTTTGCACGTTTCTACGGCAATGCCCTCGAGATTTTTTCTCCCGCTGGTTACGCCACGCGCAGCCTATGAACGGACTAAAAATAATGCTGACAGTCCGTATTTATGATAACTTTTCATTATATAAGGGAAGACGTTAATCGCGATCGGGTCGCGCCTCGTCGGGAAATGCATGTTTTACTAATTAGGAACGATGTACGGGCTCGTATGCAAAGCAATTGCAATAATTTGTTCTCACAGTAATAATCTCGCGACCCTTCCCCCGTGGCGATAACTCCCACAGCTAGGGTTAGCGATATCCCCCTTTTTCTTTCATGCGCACTTTAATCTTTCTTGTATTTTTCTCTCAGAATATTGCACATATTAATTTACATGGATATACCTTCTGCTTGTTATTTTATGTCAAAGTATAAATGTTAGATTACATTCATTGGATCTGCAAACAAGTGAACCTTGACCCAGAAATCTTTGCTGCTAAGAATAAGAGAAGGCAATAAACATACCTTTTCATTTTCAATCTGTCTTCAATATTGTGAAATATATATTTCTGTACACAAATTTTCCTTTTATTTGCATATTGATATGGGTTTATTTATGTATGATACTTATGCCATTTTAAGCAATAAATTTACCCTATGGATCTTTTTCCTCTCTCATGTATCTTAGTTTTATCATAATAGATTTAGCAAATGTGTGTTTATTATAATATCTTATGATTTTTCAGTCAGAAACTGTGGCAGTTTATTACGCTCTCAGGTGAGGTATAATTACACAGAAACTAGGAAGAATTTAAAAATTGATGCAAATACCAAAGTGATATGTCAAGGTTTTACTGGAAAGCAAGGGACTTTCCATTGTCAACAAGCGCTCGATTATGGTACAAAGATAGTAGGTGGAGTTAATCCTAAGAAGGCAGGAACAGAGCATCTTGGTAAATCAGTATATAAATCTGTTAAGGAGGTAGGTACTACTACATACTTTTCTTTTTACATTTACTCATTTATCTGCCATGGTGCTTAAATTGTCTTTTGTATCTTACAGGCGAAAGAAGCAACTGGGGCTTCTGCGACAGTTATTTATGTACCGCCCCCAGCTGCGGCATCAGCCATTATGGAAGCAATTGATGCAGAAATGCCATTAATTGTTTGTATTACGGAAGGTATTCCTCAACATGACATGGTCAAGGTGAAAAGGCGTTTACTCGAACAAAATAAGTCACGTTTAATTGGCCCAAACTGCCCTGGAATAATAGCACCTGAACAGGTACAGAAATAATTAATTTTACAAATTTATTAGTGAAATATATATATATATATATATCTTCTCTTCTCTCATATGATGTAGTGTAAAATTGGTATTATGCCTGGTCATATACATCAAAAAGGAAAGGTTGGTATTGTCTCGAGATCTGGAACCCTAACTTACGAGGCTGTGAATCAAACGACACTTGTAAGCATATTCCAAAAATTATATATTCATAAAATGTCAAATATGGTAATAATGATAGTACTTTCTTTGAAGGCGGGACTTGGACAAACATTATGTGTTGGCATCGGTGGCGATCCATTCAACGGTACTGATTTCATCGACTGTTTGGATGTATTTCTTACTGACCCAGATTGCAGTGGTATTTTAATGATAGGAGAGATTGGCGGAAGTGCGGAGGAATTTGCAGCAGAGTATCTCATCGAAAAAAATACTGTTGGTTCTTGTTCAGAATAATTGGTATCCAAATTCCGATCCAACCTAACCTAAATCCTAACTCTTACACTCTTTCTGGAAATCTAACGTAGGATTACGTCTTTATTTATTATATACATATTGTGTTAAAGGGTGGAAAAGCTAAGCCAGTGGTGTCATTTATCGCTGGTATTACTGCACCTCCCGGACGAAGAATGGGACACGCTGGTGCCATAATCTCAGGAGGAAAGGGCGGCGCGCAAGATAAAATTGATGCACTCGAAAAAGTAAGTCAAACTTTCTATTCATATGTCATTAATGTTGTACTTGAAATTTTTTTGGAATCGAGTATATCAATATACACATTGGTTCTGTTATTAGGCTGGTGTAATAGTAACAAGGAGTCCTGCACAAATGGGTAATGAACTTCTAAAGGAAATGACACGGCTTGGCCTGATCAATTAAAGCACACACTACTATAATTCTGTGTAGTTTTCTTCATGTCCGTGTAAAACGTCTTCGTGAAAAATAAATTGAAAGTATGCCATACAGCAATAACTCACAGAACATAGTAGTGGTATTGGAGCATAAAAATTATTTCACTCTTGCTAATATTATATCAATTGTTCTCAATATCATAGAACGACGCTTTAGCAACGCTAAAGATTATATAGAAGATAACTAATATTTTTTAAAGAGCTGGTTTTATTTTGACAGCGCGAACAACCTTTATAATACTTTTACAGAATTAATTGTTACATTAGCAGTGACAAATGTCCAAGAATAATTTATCAATTATCCGAGGGAACGTTAAAACTGCCATTGATCTGTCACAATTTGACTAATGCAGAGTTATAAATTTTTCTATAATATGTAAACAGTTTTGAGGGATGGTTGTTTAAGTGTATAATGTTTTATTATTGTAAATTATATCAAGCATATAATATATTACAATAATGAATTTTAAACTTTATGGAATATGTATCCTTATTGTAAGACATGTTAAGAATTCAAATATATATATATAAATATTGCTGCTTGTTCCCACAAATATTTGACTTCTTTTTTTTAACATCAATACAAAACAGTTTCTTTCCAAACTGGATAACAATTAATTATATTGATATCGTCACCTAAATCCTATTACTTTGTCAATAAAATTAGCTATATCTGCACTTTTGTCATTGGTGAACGGTTTTAACTTTGACAAGTCCATTGTTTCTATAACATGCAACAAATTCCGACAAGTACAATAATACAAATGCTCATCTTTATACAGTTGCTCGGCCAGTTCAATCTGATGATTGTCCATTAGGAGATCGTTTGTCACTACAATTAAGTGTTTGCGTTTTTCCAAAGCTTCCAGTACGCTTCCTGCGCCAGCATGGCTTATCACAAGATCTGCCAGTTGCAAATATTCCCCGATGGATGGACTTAATCCAAAAGTTTCTATTTTATGAAAACCATAACGCGCGGTGCAATCCGGTTCTAAGTTGCTATTGCCAATTTGTAAGATCAGACGCTTGTAATTACGTGCTGACAGGGCCTGGAATTGCAATATTAATTGTAAACATTTTTTAACAGATATACATATATATACATAATACAGGGTGACCCAAAATTTGCAAATTAAAATTCATAACAAAAGTTTTTGAAAAATTAAGTAAAAATGTTATTTGTAAATTTTTATTTTAAACACTAGTTTTTGAGATATAAGAATTTAAATATATATATATATATATATATATTGTAAGTATATACACAAAATATAATAAAGAACAGATAATTCAACGAAAGAAAGTAATGTAAATAATAATAAAATGTAAATACTATATGCACTACCTCCAGGACTGCGCGACTCAACACTGTAGTTATCAGATCATCGAATTTCGTTGTACCAACCGTAACAAAGACCGTTTTACCCGACATCTTGCGTTATGTCATGTATCGTTTCATTAAAAACAAAACAGCTTATTACTCCTTATCTTTCCGCTTTTATCAAAATTTCCATTGAATTAATAAATGTTATTACACGTATGAAAAATAACCTCTGATCGCAGCCATCGAGAAGCGGTTCATCGGATTAATCTAATTTTTTAATTTTTATTTTGGAGATAGATTTAAAAAGATAAATTAATTCAGATCTAAGTAACTCTGATACATAAAAAATGATCTTAATCGTATAGGTCTGGATTGATAATAGGCCGTTTTTTAGGTTATCTACACTCCATGTGCTCGACGGCACTGTATGTAGGTATGTACATAAAATTACTGAAATGCGATAGCACAGCCTTTCGATTTAATACTGAGTCTTAGATTATTGCATTATTTAATAGCACATATATTGGCTATTTCGCCGGTCTAAAGAGATCACGGACAAAGATCGTGTTAACTCTCTACATATAACGTCATGTGATTTAAAAATTACATCTTTAAATGAATACCTTATATCTGTATTTTTAAGATGTATTTTCAAGATGATTCAATTTATGTTTTCTATTTATTGATTGTACAAGTTTTTTATAAGCAAAAAAGTCGATTATAAAGGGTTAAATACGATTTTGAGTAATAACGAATAGCGCCGGAATCAAAAGATCGTTTAAAATCAGATGATTACCTGATCATCTTCAAACAAGATTATTTTAAGATGATCTCTTAAAATAAGATTGAGGATGCGATACCATGGACATAGGAATTAAGAGTACAAAGTTGCGGGGGGGGGGGAGTCACTGCGGGACGGTGCGCCAGAGAGGATTCTCTGCTGCAGCTTTGACGGAGTGCAGAACGTAATGCAGCTTCGATGCACTTTGGACGTAGGGCGCGTTTACAATGTTGATTATAATTTGCTCCAATGAAATCTTTATAAGTCCCAATAGATGTAGGAAGCCTTAAGCCTTAAGAAATAGACCAATCATAGTCGAATGTGAA